TGTCTGAAAATTTTTCCGAAAGCTCACTTGGTAGGTTGAATTTTGTATTCAATAATATTGGAAATATAACAGCTTCTAGTCAATATTTTCAAAAAATCTCAAATTATTGGCGGTACTTACTTTGATGAATAGCATGATGAAAAATAAACTACTGAAACTCTTCAATGAGAATTCACTTGTGAACTGACTTGTATAAATATGTTGTACAACTCTTATTATTGAAGTAGACACAAGAAAGTCTTGATCTAGTTCTAACTAGGGCATTTCATTTTTCAATTGAAATCGCTCGACCTTCGTTATGATATTGAAATAATACATATATCTTAATCAAGAAAAGTTTCAGTTTGAATAATTATTGCAGATTTGCAAGATCTCCACATGGAGGATAATGATTTTCATCAGGGTGGATGATTAACAAAGATTCAATAACATGAAGCAATATAGGTCATTACTGGAAATCTCTATACATAAAAAAATAAGTATTATAACTTACTTCATGGTCTTTCACAGAATTCATAAAATGAAACAATTTTTTTGTGTTGACGAAGAATTGAAAGGCTAACAGAACAATTTATATTTATTTATGTCGAATTTTCGATATATATGTTTAAGTAATCGATGATTTTTCGATTGGAAATCTTGGTCCCATTTTGTCTCATTCTGAAAGAAGTTCAATGTTGTATTCAACATTTATTATCCAATTATGAACAATTGTTATCGTTTCTACTCAAGATAGTCCAGCAGTTTAATTCAAATCATCATCTATGTATCTCAAGCCTACTGAAACCGAGGAAATATAAGAAATAATTAGAATGTTCGATTCGAGAAAAGCTCCAAGATAAAGATCAGGTTTTGTAACTTAAAATGCTAAAATTGCAAAGTAAAACCATTATTTGAACCAGGTAAGAAAAACAAATGACGAATTATAGACCAATTACTGTTTCACCAGTTTTATCTAAAATTATTAAGAAATCAGTACATTCTAGATAGTTTGAATATCTTGAAAAGACAAAATAATTTGATGGGCAATACGGATTTCCAAAAAAATTAATGTGTATGGTATCGTAAGGATCAATACTTGGACCTGTTTTTTTCTTATATATTCCAATTCTATAGCTACAGAAAATTTATTTGGTAAGTTGAAAATGTTTGCTAACACCACTTTAATTTACAATGGAAATAGTGTACAAGAAATCAAAATTATTATTTCAAATGACTTCGACCAAATATCTTCATGACTTCAAAGCCATAATATGAAACTGAATTTTCAGAAATCCTCATACATGTCCATATCAAAAAGGTCTATATCAATTGATGCAATAGATCCAGTTAAACTTAATAATGAGAATATTATTACTCTCCTAGCGCTAACTTTCTTAGACTTATCCTAGATAAAAATGTATCATGGAGAAAACATATTGAAACAATAAAA